GTACATATGTACATGTACATATCAATTCCTCTTGCTAATATTTTAACTTGTAATTATGAATTGCTACAAACATGATGAAAGGAAAGAAGAATATAACAGAAATCCTTATACCCACAATCCAGGTTTAAGAAATGTTAACATTTTACCATGTTTCTTTAGATCCTCTTTTTTTCTTAAGTAATAAACTGGTATAGTATTATTGAATCCAATTTAAAAAACATTTTTACAGTTCTTTTTCCATTTAGTATGATTTTCAAGATTTATCTTGACATGTGCAGATCCCCTTTATTCATTTTAATTTATGTATGGCATTCCTTTGATTACTTCCCTGCCAACACCCCTTGTTTTTTGTTATTTGTTTAATCTTTTTTACCTAAATGCTAATGTATTGTACCTTGTATTTTGGACTTTTCATTACTCACAAAACCTCTTCATATTTAAAGTATGTGATATGAAGATTTATTTTGGATTCCTTCTCAACATAAGGAAAACTAAAAGAAAACAAATTATACTGAGGGACAAGTTTCTAAGAGTCTTTAATGTCATAATGTTACAGTGAGGTTTATATAGAACTTTCATAATACCTTTGATATGTTCCAGGATTTATAAATAGTACACTTAGGAAAAATATGAATTGGCTTGACTCAGGCTTCTTTACCTAAGTACTATATATGTAACATTTTATATGTAATATAATGTAATTAATATCAGTATTTCTCTTTAAAAATGTTTCTTGTTTAATTCTTCTACAGACTTCACTTGAGAATGTGTATTAAATTAGCTGAAGTAATTTAGTTGCAGACAACCTTTCTTTTCATCTTTTCATTTAATTTAGCAAGTCATTAGATACTTCAAGAATGGCAATGTACATTATTCCCTTTTATTCCTCCTTTCTTTAGGTCTGCAATATTTTGGTTGCATTTAAATCAGTTAACATTTATTGATTCATTTTATGTGCCTAGCACTTTGCTGAGTAGTATTATGGATAATAATGGAAATAATGGCCCACATGGAGGCAAAAATTTAATTGAAGAGAAATAAATTGATCATTAGACCATACTGGAATGCTAATGTGTGAGGTGAGATTCGGAGTGGACCATAAAGGATGATGAATATTTGACTTTGGCAATCAGGGGAGGATCTTTATGAACAGAAACTCAGATGTGAATACAAAATAGGTGAAGAATGAAGAGTTTAACCATTTTATAGCTCAGGGTATACATTTGGGATAATGGGAAATTAAGTAGAATAGAAGGAGGTGGTCATCAATAGTCAAGCAAGTTTAGGATTCATGAAGAAGACAAAAAGATGTCCATATCAATTTCAAGGAAGTTAGAAGATGTAATCGGTGATTTAGGAAGCTGAGTGGATCAGAGCAACAGGTGGGAAGGTCAACTAGAAGAGTTTTATATAAATTTGGAAAACTCATCTTAGATATTAGCCTTCAAAGAATGCCTGTGTCCTTTGGCACAGTAATTATATTTCTAAGACTTGTAGGAAAATACTTCAAAATGTGTGGTATCTGCAGAACAGAGAACTGGATCATGGCAACATTTTGAAGTAATTTGGTTGTCTTTCATGTGTTCCTGCTTCCTGGTACCTTTTTCCTCCAAATTCCATTGAGTCCAGGGGTGGGGAATTCTCCTGCAGTCTGAAACAGCGATTGAATTCTCCTGAGTTGAAAGAAATGGGAGTGCTTGGAGTCGACACATTTTCTTAACCAGGGGCTTCTCTAGAACTCTACAGGTTCATAGATGAGCTGCTGGGGTTTGTGAATTTTCTGAAATTCTGCATAAGATTTCATATTATATGCATTTGTTAGACAGAGTTTCAGATTCTGATAGAAGTCTGTGACCTTACCCAAATTTATGGCATTGCTTAACGATTTACTTCCTACAAGTCTTAGTATTACTTCTTCAGAAACTGCTGGAACCAAGTAGAATTTAATTTGGCCATTTTGGACATAGAAAATTATCAGTTTTATATGACCTACCCTGATATATTTTTAAATAATTTTTTTGCATTTCTTAAATGTAATGGTGTTCACTTTAGGAGTGTAGGTTTTAGCTAAGCAATATATGTTCAACTTTGTGTTTAAATATACTTATTTACTTCAATAAGGTAATTGAGTTCTGCTTTTATTTCTTCAGCTTCTACAGTCCATAAATTTAATTAGGTATACCTCAGAAGTATTGCTGGTCCTGTTCTAGACCACTACAATAAAGCAAATACCAAAATAAAGTGAGTTAGATGAATTTTTTGGTTTTCCAGTGCATATAAGTTATGTTAATACTACACTGTAGTCTATTAAAGTGTGCAATATCATTATGTCTAAGAAAACAATGTACATATCTTAATTGAAAAATACTCTATTGCTAAAAAAAATGCTAACCATCATCTGAGGTTTCAGAAAATTGCAGTCTTTTTTCTGGTATAGTGCCTTGCCTAGATATTGATGGCTGCTGAGTGATCAGGGTGGTGTTTGCTGAAGGTTGGGGTGGCTGTGGCAATTTCTTAAAATAAGACAGCAATGAAGTTTGCTTCATACATTGCCTCTTCCTTTCACAAAAGATTCTCTGTAGCATGTGGTGCTATTTGATACCATTTTAGCCACAGTAGAACTTCTTTCAAACTTGGAGGCAATCTTCTCAAACCCTGCTGTTGCTTTATCATAAGTATACGTAATATTCTTTAAATCCTGTGTTGAAGATTTCAATCATCTTCAAACCAGCTTCACCAGGAGTAGATTCTGTCTCAAGAAACCACTTTCTTTGCTTATCCCTAGGAAGCCAATCCTCATCCATTCAAGTTTTATCTCATGAGATTGCAGCAATTCAGTCACATCTTCAGGCTCTTTTTGTAATTCTAGTTCTTTTGCTATTTCCACCACATCTACAGTCACCTCCTCTTCTTGGAAGAAGAGTAGGAATCAACTTCTTCCAAACTCCTGTTAATGTTGATGTTTTGACCTCTTCCCATGAATCATGAGTGTTCTTAATGGCATCTAGAATGGTGAATCCTTTCTAGAAGGTTTTCAATTCACTTTGCTCAGATACGTTCAGAGGGATTACTATGATAGCTATAGTCTTATGTACGTATTTCGTAAATAATAAGACTTGAAAGTTGAAATTACTCCTTGATCCATGGGCTGCAGAATGGATGTTGTGTTAGCAGGCATGAAAACAGCATTAATTTTGTTGTACATCTCCATTAGAGCTGTTGGGTGACTAGTTACATTGTCGATGAGCAGTTAGATTTTGAAAGGAATCTTTTTTTCTGAGTAGTAGGTCTCGGCAGTGGGCACAAATGTTTAGTAAACCATGTTGTAAACAGATGTACTGTCTTATTCCATAGAACACAGGCATAGTAGACTTAGCATCATTCTTCAGGGTCCTTTTAAGCTTTGAAGGCAGGCACTGACTTGTCCACTCTAGCTATGAAAGTCCGAGATAGCATTTTCTTCCAACTAAAGAAGGTTTTATCTACACTGAAAATGTGTTGTGTAGTGTAGCCACCTTCATTAATTAATTAACTAGATCTTCTGGATAACTTATTGCAGCTTCTCCATTTCACCTTGCACTTTTATGTAGTGGAGGTGGCTTCTTCCCTTAAGTCTCGTGAACCAACCTCCAGTAGCTTCAGACTTTGCTTCTGCAGCTTCCTTATCTCTCTGAGCCTTCATAGAATTGAAGAAAGTTCAGGCCTTGCTCTGGATTAGGCTTTGGCTTATGGAAATGTTGTGCTGATTTGATTTCTGTCCAGAACACTGAAACTGTCTCCATATCAGCAATAAGACAGTTTTGCTTTCTTAACATTTGTGTGTTCACTGAAGTAGCATTTTATTGCCTTCAAGAACTTTTCCTTTGCATTCACAACTTGACTAACTGTTTGGTGCAAGAGGCTTAGCTTTCAGCCTATCTTGGCTTTCAGCATGCCTTCCTCACTAAGCTTAAGCAATTCTAGCTTTTGATTTAAAGTGAGAGATAACGACTCTTCCTTTCACTTGAACACTTAAGGGGCTGTTGTAGGGTTATTAATTGGCCTAATTTCAATAATTTGTCTCAGGGAATGGGGTTGCCCAGGGAGAGGGAGAAAGATGGGGGAATGGCGGGTCTTGGAGTAGTCACAACACACACAACATTTACCAGTTAAGCTCACTATTTTATATGGGTGTGGTTCATGGTGCCCCCAAACATTACAATAGTAATGTCAATAATCACTGATCATAGAGCACCGTAACAAATATAAAAATAATGAAAAAATTGGAAATATTCTGAATTACCAAAATATGATACAGAGACAAGACATGATTTAGCAGATGCTGGTCGAAGTGGTGCCATGCAGGGTAGCCATGAACCTTCAATTTGCAAAAAGTGCAGTATCTCCGAAGCTCAATAAAACAGGGTATGCCTGTATTAGGCCTAGTGCTAGTATATTTAGGTTTCTGCTGTGGTAAAACAAGGACAGGGAAATTATGGAAAGAGAAATGAAAGGGGACCTAAAAAAGGTATACAGTAGAGTATAAAAATGGCAAATTGGCTAAAATTGTTCCCTAAGTGGAACTCTTGGATAATTTGAATTCTCAGGCCTGTCTGGCTCCAGGGTACAAAGCACCACGATGGGTCTGTCCTGTCTGTCGTGTTCGCCATCAGCACGGGAGGGCAGAGCAGTGATCTAAACGCCACTAGTTTGCTGTTCCATTAATTATATTGAGTTAATCAGAATTTCTTTGTTAGAGCATTACATTTCTTCAAAATGATGGATTATATGACATGAATGTAGTTGGCAATTAAAACTTTGAGCCAAGAAAAAATTAACTATGAGCCACTTCTTGGAAAAGTCAGATAATCACCAATAACACAATTCAGCTTGAGGTTTTATTCTTTTCTTGGTTTGTTTTGTTTGTTTTCTGATTTTCACTATCCTTTTATTTCAATTAAGCAAAAAAACAAAATATAATTAAAATGAAACATTTTAAACCTAATCTTTTTCTTTTGTAGGTTGCTTTCTGATTCTAAACAGCTCAACATTTTAAGAAAAGCAAGATCTTATATAAAACAGAGAAAGTATGATGAAGCAGTAAGTTTGTAGGCCTATGAGTGTCATTTTGGTTTTGCGGGGGCGACAAGGTGTGGTGATGGAGAGCAAAGTGGACAGGCCTGGGAGCTTTCCTGACCCTTCAAGGAAGGGTTGAATTTCCTAAGTAGCTACTTTAGCCATGGACATACTTTTCTTATTTCAGATAATACTGTTGGTGAACTTTTTAAGGTTAGCACTGGAAATGAACAATTGCCATTTTCTATAATGAGAAAGTGTTTCAAGTTTCTGTCATCCTACTGATGCATAACCTTTTAGAATACGACATATTTGTATATTTGGAATTATCTACACACTGTGAGAAGTCTAATAATTCACACTGAAGCTTTGACACTTCCCAACAGCTATCCCACTATGTTTTTCATTATTTTTCTCTTTAATAAATGGTCATATAATATTAAATTAGGAAATAATTCTATTTTTAGTTTCTAAATATGCCTAAGCAATGCCGTGCATTTCTAATGCTTATTTTTATTATGGTTTTAATATGGTAAGCTCTTTTCCCCTAAAAACATTAGGCCTTTTTAAATGATGTTTTATAACTGGTTTAGGTAACCTGATAGAAGAAAGTAAAAAATGATATAAATGTATGTAGGCATCTCTGCGTTTTGGAACCTATGCTAGAGAGCCTTCATTCTTTTCATGTGTCATTATTAGGTACTTTCCTCAAAATGAATCATCTTAAGTCACTATACATATGGTAGGTAGTTCACATTTAAAATGCCTTTTCTTCCTGAAAGTTAAAAGTTCATTTTATTCAGGAATTTTTCTTTTATTTTGTGAGAAGTTCAGACAATTAAAATCTGTTTTAATCCATCATCTGCAGTTACTCAGTCTAATTTTAATAATTTTCCTTCCTTTGAAACTTAGGTTTTCTCATTCTTTCCATGTAGCAAGTCATATTTTCATTTCTCCATAGGTCTCCCTCTGCAAGGAGCTGATTGATCTTGCATTGGAAGGATTGTCCTATTATCATACTTATGACAGATTCTTTTTGGGCATCACTGTTGTTCTAGGTTTTGTGGGATGGACATCTTATGCTTCTCTATTGGTCATCAAGTCTCATTCCAGCCTTACCAGAGGTGTTAGTAAACAAGTTAAGGTACGTTCAGAAAATATAATGAAGATCCAGATGATGGTGTAAAATCAGTTAAGACTGAGGAAAGAAATTGAATCAGATCAAGTATAATGAGTCATACAATATATACAATGTACTAAGCTAACTCTTGTCTTTCCTTTTCTTTTGTGGTATTGGATCTTTTTTCCTCAGTTATCTCTGTTCCTTTAGTTGGGAAAAGGATACCTTAATAATATTAGCCCTATAACTTAGGAGGGCTAAAAATACAGCTGTATAATTTATACTCTCCTATGACATCAATTGTGCTGATTTTCTGTTCTTATAATTATTTAGCATGTTATAAGGATTCCATATCATTGTAGTACAGATAGTCAGAAAACTACCTCAAAGCAATATATTTAACTTTATTTGGTATTAGAAGTTTAGGAGCTGAAACACAATAAAAGTCTCTTATTCAAAATGTTCCTTTGTAAATAATATAAATGTTCTTCTTCAGCTATTCTTACCTTCCTTCAACTTTCTGAAATTCTTAAATACTAATTTCTAGAACTTTTTATATATCCTCATTTTAAGAATTAATCCCTAGTATTTCCTGTACTTTTCAATGTAGGAATAAAACCTCTTTAAGAATACTTCATATAGTAGCAAAAATTTAACAGAACATATATGGTTTTACTACTTTAAAACAGTTTACTCTTTTAGAATATATTGCTAACTGTCATTTACCCGGGAGCATATGCCACTTCCATTTCCCTTATTTCACTCTCTCTAATGATTATTACCATGTCCAAATCCTCTAGAAAGTAATATATCTGGATGGTGTATTATTAATAGTAACAGTCTGTAAACATTTCTAGTGGTAGCTTTTTACAATTTTATTTTTCTGTAATTGAAGAAAGCACAATAATGTTTATTCCAATTTTATAGTGCTTTAAATGCATCTTAAATAATTTCTCTAAATAATTTTCATTATTTGAATGCATTGAATATAGCTAGAACTAGAGTAATTTCTTACATGGTAGGAAAAGAGACAGAAACAACCATGTTGTGGTAGTAGATCTATCTAGGCATTCTGTTTGGTATTTTAAATTTATTTTACCATTTCAAACTCATAACAGTGCTGAAAGTATACATTATAATTTCTCTTTACAAAAGAGGAAACTGAAGCTGTGTAAGTAACCTGCAAAAGACCACTCAGCTAGGATGTGGAGGAACTGAGATCTGAATCCAGAGAAGTCTGTGTCAAACACTGCCTTTTCATATTTGTCCTGATGTTCAGATTATTGAGAAAGGATATTATGTCTTTAAAGTGATGTGTCAAGAGGTTTCATAGCTGATAGTTTCTCTCTTTTCATTACTCTTACAGTGCAGAGAATATTTAAATGACTGTTCAATACAATGGTAGATGCTGTATAGGATATATAAAGAAATATAAAATTCAGATTCTGCCCTCAAGTAGCTTAGAATTAAATAAGTAGATAAGAGATGTACACACATAACCACCTTATCAGGTAGAGGTCTCTACATTAGCCTACATTGTGAAAGACAACCTTAACATTTAACAACTTTAATATATGTTAAGTGTTTAAGTGTGCTACAAAGAATCATATTTTAAATAAAAGAGAATTCACATTAGGTAGGGTAATGATAACAGGAAAGAGTAAATCTTGGTGGAAATTTAACAGACTATGGGGAAAGGATGAGAATTAAAGCAAATTGAGTGATATGAACAAAGGCAGTTGGGAAAATGTATTATTACGCTGGTACTAAGTAGTATTTGTTGAGCCCCACTATTCCAGGACTATTGTGGGTGCTTTACATGTGTTATTCTGTTAAGCTTAACACTACCCTACATTGGAGGTTATTCGCATAATATGGATGGGGGAATTTAGATTCAGAGAAATGTGTTTTCTTCAAGAACACACTCATATTAAATAACAAAACTATCATTTTCTAATACTTAAATACTTGATTTTTCTATACCCTGATGCCTTAAAACTAACAAAACTATCATTTTCTAATACTTAAATACTTGATTTTTCTATACCCTGATGCCTTAAAACTAAATAGTTAAATTTGAGTAAAATGGGAGGTTTGTTTGAGGGACTAATAAGAGATAATACTGACAATATAGATTAGACTAAAGGCCTCAAATGCTAGAGTTTAGACTTTATTTAGTGAAGAAGTTCTTATGTCAGAGTTAAACCAGAAAAACAAAACCAGTAGGACCTATATATTAAGACATTTAGTGTGAGGAATTAGCTTATGTGATTATGGGGTGTAGTTAGGCAATTCCTAAATCCATAGGTCGAGCCATCAGGAAGGGCAGACTGGAACTTCAGGCAGGAGCTGAAGCTGCACTCAATAGGTACACCTTCTTCAGGGAACCCCCCCATTCTGCTCTTAGAGCCTTTCAAGTGGTTGAATCATCCTGATTATCTAGAATAGTCTCCCTTACTTAAAGTCAACTGATTATGGACTTGAATCACATCTACAAGATACTTTCACAGAGCACCTAGATTAATGTTTGACTGAATACCTGGGGACTGTAGCCTAGCCAAGTTGACACTTAAAACTGACCATGTGGGGCGGGAGCCAAGATGGCGGCGTGAGTAGAGCAGTGGAAATCTCCTCCCAAAAACACATAGAGCTATGAAAATATAACAAAGAAAAATCTTCCTAAAATAGAGACCACAGGACACAGGACAACATCCAGACCACATCCACACCTGCAAGAACCCAGCGCCTTGT